CGGCGGGGGGCTGGCGGAGACGGCGGATGTGGCAGGCGGTGTAACGCGAGGCAGAAGGCGGTCGGGGCGACAGCGACCTCGTGCGCCACCGCGCGAAAGGCGGGGTTGAGCTGCGCGCACTTTGCCGCGGCGGCGGTCGACTTTGGTGCGCCGAGGTCGGACGGGCGGAAGAGGAACTGCCGGTTGAGGTTGGATCGCTCGATCTGGTCCATGTCCGTCACGTGCACGACGCCGCCGTCCGTCGCCGCGCCCAGCAGCGCGAGGCACCTGCGAGTCGAAGGGCACCAGCCTCGGGGAAGGAGGACGGCCTTGTGCGGTGTCTATCAGGGCACCGCCGTGAAAACGAGGGGGAAGCGAAGACAGTGAACACAGCCGAATACGGCCGAACAGAGCGGAGCACGCCTGTCCTCTCGAGCGCTGGTTGGGAGACAAAAACACATCTTCCGCTTCCAGCGTCGCCGAGCCCCGCCCAGCGCGCGAGACATGGGGAGATACGGGGAGATATGGGGAGATCTTCCCCTTCTAGCGCGAGGCGCTTGAGCCACTCGCAGCCAAGCGCGCCGGCGCCAACCACAAAGTAGCGCCCGCGCCGCAGCGCGGCAAGCGCCGCCTCGCCAATCACCGCGCGGCTCCCGTCGTACCGGTCTCCGCGCGGCGCGCACTCGGCGGCGGCGGGCGGCGGGGCGGGGAGCGCCTCGAGGGCGTCCCAGTAGAGGAACTGGCGGAGCGGCGTGAACTTGCCGGTGACGGCCTTGAGCGCCTCCTGCGCCGCCACGCCGCCGATGAAGGAGGAGACGGGCGCGAGAGCACCTACCCACGGGCCGGCTCGGCTGACCGCGCGTCTCTCTCGCCGCTGGCGACGGAGCCCGGGGGGCGGGGACACTCGGGCGCCCCCGCTGCTACGGCCGAATCGGACGAGGAGCGCCTCGTCGAGCTCCGCGCCGCCGCCCGCCGCCTCGCGCGCCGCCGCGAGAAGCGCCGCGCCGCGCTGGTCGGAGCCGGGCGGGCAGCCGGCGGGCAGCGCGTGCAGGCCTAGAAGAGGAGATGTCCGAGAAGGGTCGGGGAGCGGGGAGTGCGGGCGGGCGGCGGGGCGGGGCAGGGGTCGCAAGCCGGCGAAGGCGGCGTGCAGGGTGAGGGAGCGGGAAGCGCGGCGGCCGCCGACTTCGTGCAGCAGCTGGCCCACCTCCTCGCTCGCGGCCTCGAAGGGCTTGAAGTCGAGGGAAACGGGCTGCTTGACCTGCGCCAGCCAGTCAGCCAGTCAGCCGTGGGCCAGCGTACTGGCCGCCGCAGCCCCTCTCAACCAGTGCACGTCTGTCTGCGGCGCTGCCCCTCCCCGAGGACGCAGACACCGCCTCGCGTGCAGCGCCCTCGTGTGTGCTCTGCGCGAGTGCGTGTGCCCCGTCTCCCCTAGGACGTGTGTAGCACTGACCGCTGCCTGAGCTGCACCAGCCGCTCTACCTCCCCACATCTCCCCATATCTCCCCAGATCTCGACCTGCACCAGCCGCTCTACCTCCCCACATCTCCCCATATCTCCCCAGATCTCGACCTGCACGAGCCGCTCTACCTCCCCACATCTCCCCATATCTCCCCATATCTCCCCAGATCTCGACCTGCACGAGCCGCTCTACCTCCCCACATCTCCCCATATCTCCCCATATCTCCCCAGATCTCGACCTGCACGAGCCGCCCCCCACCGACAAACTCGCCGCAGCCGCGCGTGTCTCCCACGGAGAGGGTGTGCCGCCCGGTGGCCCGCACCGCAAACGTGCGCCCCTCGGCGCAGAGCGCCTCCATGCCTCGCACGCCCTCGAAGCGGACCACGTCGCCGTCCTGCGCGAGCGGACGACGCCAGCCTCGGCGCGGGGGGTGCGGTCTCGTGCAGAGTCTTCAGGCAGCGCGTGAGTACGAGCGACAGAGAGACAGTGAATGCAGCGGAGTGCGGCCGAGCAGAGCGCGAGGACAGCGGAGTCCGTGTCCTCTCGAGCGCTGGTACGAGTACAAGAGCACGCGCCCTCCGCCTCTAGGTACCGCCGTCCTGCAGACCGTGCGGCTGCTCTTGCACCGTCGTGGCGACGCCCTCCTCGCCGCAAGAGACGTGCTCGAGGAGCGCCTGGCGTGGAGGCTCGCCGGTCGGATCGCTCACCACAAAGGCCTCGCCGCAGTCCACGAAGACGCCGCCTGTCCACACCGCAGACCTTGTGACGAGCCGCGCCTCGAGGCAGAGGCGCCGGTGCGGCGATGAGAGCAGAGGCGCCCGCGAGCCCAGCCGACCAGCAGGCAACCAGCTTGGCACCGCTCGCCCTCGCCGCCGCCGAGAGCCGGGCCAGCGGCGCGTGGGGCATGTCGCAGGCGACGACCACGGTGTACCCGTCGATCGCTCCCTCCCTCTCCCACCACTCGCCGCCGTCGGCGCCCGCTAGACGGCAAGCAGCTTGGCCGTCGCCCTCCGCCAGCGGCCGGCCGTCGCCGCCGAGGGCTCGCACTCGCACGTGCTCGTTGAGCGGCGCGAGCCTGTCCACCGCCTGGGCGTGCCGCGCCGTCCCGACATCCTCCGGCTTTAGCAGCCACGAGGACGAGAGGTCGGCGAGGCTCGCCTCCTCGGCGTCGTGCACGTCGAGCTGGGCCACGCCGGCGAGGGCGAGGTTCTTGCTCACCTCTGCGCCCAGCCCGGTGAGGCCGAGCAGCAGCACGCTCGCCGACCCGAGGGACAGCTGCGCGGCACGGCCCATCACGTACAGCTGGCGGGAGTAGAGCTTCTCGTCGATCGGGTCGGCAGTCGCACCGCCGCGCAGCCGTCGCAGAGCAAAGCGCCGCTCGCTGCGCGAAGTGCGTGCTGGGAGGCGCGGGGGCGAGAGCCCGGCGGCGGACAGCGCAAGCACGGCCATCATGGACGCCACCATCATGAGAACAGAGAGATCGCACGCGGGTTCTCTCCCTCGAGGTCTCGAGGGGGATTGTGTAGAAACAGATCTTTCAAACTCGGTGTCGAACCACCAGCCCGACGCTCACTACAAGTGACCAAAATTGCGACTTTCACAGCTCCTGCCCGGTACACATGCTCTCGTGCAACGTGGGCGCCACCACCTAGAGCCCAGAAACAAGCAAGCAGGCAGAAAACCGGCAAGTACTACATGGGACGCTGCACACAAGAACCCTCTACGCGGACTACGTCTACGACGCCGGGTGAGAGGCGCCACCCACCACCCCGGCCGGTCGGTCCCCGCTACATGCACATGCAACCACGGTGGATGGCGCCGAGGCCCTCTTGCGCCAGCCCCAGTCCCCTCATAGACCCAGCCGCACGCCCAGCCGCACGGTGGCGCATGAGAACGAGCGATAGAGGTGCGGAAGTGCCATACCGATCTCGGATGCGATCTCGGGCAATCTCGGGCAATCAATATGCTAATTGACGAAACTTGATGGGGACAATCTCGGGCAATCTCGGGTGGCGCATGAGAACGAGCGATAGAGCGCCTCCACAAAGAGGTGCGGAAGTGCCATACTGGTCTCGGAAGCGATCTCGGGCAATCTCGGGCAATCAATATGCTAATTGACGAAACTTGATGACAATCTCGGGCAATCTCGGGTGGCGCATGAGAACGAGCGATAGAGCGCCTCCACAAAGAGGTGCGGAAGTGCCATACCGGTCTCGGAAGCGATCTCGGGTAATCTCGGGCAATCAATATGCTAATTGACGAAACTTGATGACAATCTCGGGCAATCTCGGGTGGCGCATGAGAACGAGCGATAGAGCGCATCCACAAAGAGGTGCGGAAGTGCCATACCGGTCTCGGAAGCGATCTCGGGCAATCTCGGGCAATCAATACGCAAATTGACGAAACTTGATGACAATCTCGGGGAATCTCGGGTGGCGCATGAGAACGAGCGAGAGAGCGCCTCCACAAAGAGGTGCGGAAGTGCCATACCGGTCTCGGAAGCGATCTCGGGCAATCTCGGGCAATCAATATGCTAATTGACGAAACTTGATGACAATCTCGGGCAATCTCGGGTGGCGCATGAGAACGAGCGATAGAGCGCCTCCAGGTGCGGAAGTGCCATACCGGTCTCGGAAGCGATCTCGGGCAATCTCGGGCAATCAATATGCTAATTGACGAAACTTGATGACAATCTCGGGCAATCTCGGGTGGCGCATGAGAACGAGCGATAGAGCGCCTCCACAAAGAGGTGCGGAAGTGCCATACCGGTCTCGGAAGCGATCTCGGGCAATCTCGGGCAATCAATCGGAAGTGATCTCGGGCAATCTCGGGCAATCAATACGCTAATTGACGAAACTTGATGACAATCTCGGGCAATCTCGGGTGGCGCATGAGAACGAGCGATAGAGCGCCTCCACAAAGAGGTGCGGAAGTGCCATACCGGTCTCGGAAGCGATCTCGGGCAATCTCGGGCAATCAATATGCTAATTGACGAAATCTCGGCTCAATCTCGCCAATCTCGGCTAATCTCCTGCTCTGATTGCTGCACATCGTGTTCCGGGCACCAGTGCTGCTTCTCTCTGCTTTGAGAGCGTCTTTGAGGGGGGGAATTGAGTGGAAGGGGGGCTCAAGAGGGCCGCACCTACTCGCAGCGCACGCAGCTTGAGGCCCGGCGCCAAGGAAACCGCGGCACACCCGCCTCGCCCACGTTGTTTTGGATCTGCGAGGGCGCAGGCGGCGGCGAGCGAGCGTCAGAAGCATAAAATGGGACGAGCATAGCGCGGGCTCGTTTTGGGGGTCGCGGGGGCGCATTAGGCATGAAGGCGACCCGCGGCCGCGCGCTCAGCAGCGCTCAGACCGGCAATCCGATTGTGCCAGATTCGCCTCGATCCTCGGAGCGAGCCGCGCGCGCGGCGGGGCTCGCAGCACGGCGTGCAGCCGGGCACGGGCTCGCTGCAGTGGTGGTTGTGGGGCGAGGCGAGAGGGCCCGCGCGGGGGCAGCTCTCATCTCGCGCTGCGTCGCGCCGGGCGAGGGGCGAGGCGAGAGGCAACCATGAGGCACCTGTGCAATCTCTCTGGCAAAGTTTCGTTGGCAACACGCACGAAACAGGATCTCGGCGTTTTCGTGTTGGCGACAAATTAAGCGTTCGAGCACTCCCTTTTTTTAAAAGAAAGGGCCTCCGGGGCCGGAAAAGGAATCTGGAACGAAAAAAATCGGCGGAGGGGACTGGCGGATTAGAAAAAAAGGAAAAAGGCGCAAGAACCCCCCTCCCATCCCCCCCCCCCTCCCCCCCATGCCTTTGCCCCCCCCCCCCCCCCTCCGGCGACCCCACCCACCCCCCCCCCCCCCCCCCCCCCGCCCCCCCTCTGACCCCCCGCCCCCCCTCCGTTCCCCCCCCTCCCCCCCCCCCTACCCCCCCCCATTCCCCCCCCCCCCCCCCCCCACCCCTCCCCCACCCACCCCACCACCCCCCACCCCCCACCCCACCCCCCCACCCCCTCCCCGCCGCCCGCCCCTCCCCGCCCGCGCCTCGCGCTCCGCGGCGCGGTTGCCAAAGATTGCAAAGACGTCGGCGCGGGAGCCGCGAAACATCGAGTCGCGGTAGCGCTTGATCTTCTGCCGCAGCGTGCGCACGTCCCTCTGCCGCTCGCGGTGGTTGCGCGCCGCCTGCGGGCGGGCGCAGGCACATGTCGGCACACACCCTGGCCGCGCCCTCGCCCGCCTCCTGGGGGCTGCTAGACGCGGAGGCGTGGGGAGGCGTGGGGAGGTCGTGGGGAGGTCAGGGGGAGATCGCCGCCTGGACGTACTGCTCTTCGCGCAGCCGCGTCGTCGCAGCCTCCCAGCCCCACCTCTCTGCCTCGGCACGCGCGGCGGCCGCCTGTTCACAGCTGCAGGTGTGAAGAGACGCTGTTCACACCGCACAGCTCGCACAGCTACAGGTGTGAAGAGACGCTGTTCACACCGCACAGCTCGCACAGCTCGGCTAGTCAACCTCCGCCATCTCTCCGCAACCTCTACGGCACCTCTGCGCACTCCCGGCCAGCAGCTCTCGGCTAAAGGCCGCCATCGCTCGCGCCGCGGGCGGGTCGTCGACCAAGCAGCGCACCCGCGCCGCGAGCTCCTCCGTGTCGCCTGGCTCGAAGAGGGAGCCTGATTGACCTCCAACCAACTACTAGCCAACTACTATCACTACTAACTAGCTACTAGTCAACACTGATGAACGGCTCACTGCCGCCTGGCTCGAAGAGGAAGCCCGTCTTCCCATCGTCGATTAGGGAAGGGATGCCGCCGCGGTTGCAGCCGACAACAGGCACGCCACTCGCCTGCCACCCATTCATGAAGAGTTCACTTTTGAATAGGTTGCAGCCGACAACAGGCACGCCACTCGCCTGCCACCCATTCATGAAGAGTTCACTTTTGAGTAGGTTGCAGCCGACCGCAAGCACGCCGCTCGCCTGCCACCCATTCATGAAGAGTTCACTTTTGAGTAGGTTGCAGCCGACAACAGGCACGCCGCTCGCCTGCCACCCATTCATGAAGAGTTCACTTTTCAATAGGTTGCAGCCGACCGCAAGCACGCCGCTCGCCATCGACTCGAGCACGACGAACCCGAGCGTCTCCGAATCGGATGGCATCACAAAGACATCGGCGGCGGCGAAGGCGCGCGAGAGCTCCTCGCCTGTTCACAGCAGCAGGTGTGAAGAGACGCTGCTCACACCGCGAGGCAGCGCGAGAGCTCCTCGCCCTGCAGCAGCCCGGTGAACACGGTGGGCGTGCCTGGTACCATACCATCCCGAGTCTCGAATCCAGTGTGGGTTCAGTGCCCGTGGCTGTGGGGGGACGCTCTCGCCGGCAAAGTACTCGCGCAAGCCCTCCATGTCCGGCCCCTTGCCCACAAACGCGAGCCGCGCGCCCGGCAGCTTCGACAGCACGTCGCGCAGGTCGCGCAGCCGCTTCTCGACGCCGAGACGGCCGACGTAGATCAGGAGCGGCGCCTGGTACGAATGAATGAATGATGACTCACTACGAGGCACTTCAGGAGGCAATTCAGGAGGCCAGGAGGTGTGGCGCCTGATGTATTGATTGATTCACTCTTAACCATGCACTAGTGTGAGCCGGCCGGCGTAGACCGGGAGCGCTAGCCTCGGGCTCGCCGCCGGTCAGCCGCTCCCGCATCTCGCGCGCCGCCGCCGCGAGCGCGGCTGGGTCGTCATCCTCGTCGGGGGCGTGTGTCTCGCCCCACATCGCCTTCGCGCCGTGCTTCGGGTGGAAGACGTGCGTGTCGATGCCCTTGTTCCAGACCTCCACGCGCTGTACGCCGTGCGCCTCGAACTCGGCCTTCATCTGCGGCGAGGTGACCACCTACGCAGCGCCACACCTCGTGAGTTGTCCTGTGAGCTGTGTGTGCTGTGCGTACCAGACGTCAGGACCGAGTGTGCAGTGACGGCCGGTGAGAGTGTGCCTCGTGCCGGCTCCCGAGCCAATCGTGTGCAGCGTGTGTGTGTGCGCGTGTGGGCCCGTCCTCCATGCTAGGAGGCGTGTATCACTCACTGGCTGGCTGACTAAAGGGACCACCGTGAGGTCGGCGCAGTCGTGCAGCTGCCGGATCACGCTCCACGCCAGCCACTCGCCGAGCCCGCCCAGCCACCACGCGTACGTGCGCGCGTAGACGGGGATGTGCCTGTTCACAGCCAGAGGTGTGAAGAAACGCTGTTCACACCACGCGTACGTGCGCGCGTAGACGGGGATGTGCCTGTTCACAGCTAGAGGTGTGAAGAAACGCTGTTCACACCACGCGTACGTGCGCGCGTAGACGGGGATGTGCCTGTTCACAGCCAGAGGTGTGAAGAAACGCTGTTCACACCACGCGTACGTGCGCGCGTAGACGGGGATGTGCGTGTGGTAAGACATCACGAGGGGGACGTCCTTCCACTCGCGGGCGATGTAGGTGGTCATGTACGGGATGAAGCCGGGGGAGGTGACGTGGACCAGGTCCGGCTCGAACTCGTCGATCACCTCCGACACCGCAGAGAGGCACGCCAGCTTGTTCTTGCGCCGCGAGACGAGCCTGTTCCACGGCCGCAGCCGCCGCCACAGGCCCTCGCGCATGCCCTCGATGGGCGAGATGCCCCACGAGAGGTAGATCTGAGAGGGCGGCGGCGGCGGTGACGGCGGCGGCGACGGGGGGCGGGGCGGCGGGAGGCGAGGCCGAGAGCGGCGGCGTGCCTGCTTGTAGAGCGGGAAGCGGAAGCCTCGGATCGTCGCGATCGGGTAGCCGAGGAAGTGCTTCGGAGCGTCCTCAGAGTCGTCGGGCGTGATGATGGACACCTCCGCGCCCGCCGCCTTTTGGTACTTGAGGTACTCCTTGAAGCGGTTCGCGTAGCCTGACACGTGCGTGAACGGCGTCGGCTCGACGATCAGCTGCACTCGCATCGGAACCTCGTCCACCTCGGGCGGCAAGGCCGACATCGCGGGCGGGCGAGCGAGCCGCACGGCGGCTGCTGCTGGCCGAGTCGCGTGCGGCGCGAACGAGTGCGCCCTCGCGAGCACGAGGAGCACGCCAAGCAGCGAGCGCAAACCTCCTCGCTCCATTACTGGCAGCCGCGCTTTTTTTTTCGCGGGTTTGGTGCCTCAACGAGATGGTAGGAAGATGTGGCCCTCGGATAATCTCGGGTGATCTCGGGTAGTCTCGGGTAATCTCGGGTTATCTCGGGTTATCTCGGGTAACCTCGGGTCATGTGGGGTCATCTCGGGTCATATTGGATCTCGCGTAGTCGGTACACACACACTCACATACACACACACAAACACACACACACACTCACACTCACACACACACACACACACACACACACACACACACACACACACACACACACACACACACACACACACACACACACACACACACACACACACACACACACACACACACACACACACACACACACACAGAAGCGCGCGCGCGCGCACACACACACATTATTAGTGATCTCGGGTAATCTCGGCCATTCGTTAGTATTCCAGGAGCAGCGAAAAGCGCGGGCGGCGCGAGGTGGTGGCGCGACTGCAAGGATCAGCCCGCCGCCACTGTGGCTTCCTCGCCGCGGCGCCGCGACAGGCGAGAGCGCTGTTGTGATGGCTCTTTGCATTCCTCTCCTCGCCACCGCGCTCTCGGCGGGCGCCTCTCTCCGCGGCGGTCTGGCGTGCGCAGACCACCTCGTCGACGCGTTCCACCAATATGTCGCGCTCGAGTCCAACCAGGCGCTGCCGGGCGGTCGGTCTCTCCTCGTGCTCGCTCCACATGTTGGGGTGATAGGCGAGGTGGGCATGTCGCCTCCGGTGGTGACGGCCTCGCTCGTCAACACCAGCGCCGCAGCCTCGTCCGGCTTGCTCCCAGCTGATGCCTCACGCTGCGGGTTGGAGGAACCGCCCGAGCTTGTACAAGCAGACGCGACACCGGAGGCGGAGCTGGAGCCACCACCCGACCCGCCACCCGACCCGCCACCCGACCCGCCACCCGACCCGCTACCGCCGCCGCCTCAACCCATTGTCGATGAGGCGCACTGCCGTTACAAGCCGGCGCAATGGGACAGCGTCTGTCGATCTGCCAAAAGCCGACACAGCAAAAACATGCAAGCCATTCGGTTGCTGTGCAGCTTCTCGGGAGCAACGTTGCAATCGACAATCTGGGGTTCCGGTCTGGTGCTTTCTCACCACGACCACAATGCAATCATGCACGCTATGCACGGCAACATTGAGGGCAACACCTCCGGTCCGCCTGGCCAGAGCAAAACTAGCCGCAAGGTTGGCGGGCGTCACAAGCCTATGGGCTGGGAGCCCACCCCCCGCAGCACGGCCGGCGCCGGATCGATGGACTTGAGTTCACACTCGCGCCTCGAGGCGCACTTGCGCTGTCTCTGGACCACAGATATCTCGGTCGTATCGCGCCAAAGGATGTCTGTGCACCAGCTCTGTCGGCTGAGTTGCATCTGCGCAGGCTGCGCTTTAGCTCCTTTCGAGTCGCCCATGTGCAGGCCCTCGCCGGTGGTCGTACAACCAAACTATGGCCCCGCAGCCATGGAAGCAGCGGCGACGGCGCTCGAGGCCGGCCGCTCGCTCGTGGCGGCCGCCGCGGCCGGGAGCGCGGCCGGTATCGCTTCTGCTGCTGGATTGTCGACCGCAGAGGTGGCCTCTGCCGGTGCCGCAGCAGGTGATGCGACGGCGACGGCGCTCGAGGCCGGCCGCTCGCTCGAGGCGGCCGCGGCGGCCGGGAGCGCAGCCGGCGACGCCATCGTTGGTGGATTGTCGACTGCGGAGGCGGCCTCTGCCGGTGCCGCAGCAGGTGATGCGACGGCGACGGCGCTCGAGGCCGGCCGCTCGCTCGAGGCGGCCGCGGCGGCCGGGAGCGCGGCCGGCGACGCCATCATTGGTGGATTGTCGACTGCGGAGGCGGCCTCTGCCGGTGCCGCAGCAGGTGATGCGACGGCGACGGCGCTCGAGGCCGGCCGCTCGCTCGAGGCGGCTGCGGCGGCCGGGAGCGCGGCCGGCGACGCCATCATTGGCGGCTCCTCGCCGCCCAGCGCAGCTCCAAGCCGGCCTCCGAGCCCGCCACCTAGCCCACCGCCGAGCCCACCGCCGTGTACTACGGCGGCGCGCAGGCGAGGGCTCCAGCTTTCATTCGCGCAACCCCAATGCTGCTCTCGGCAGTGCTGCATCGGCGTCTCTGGATCATCGAGAGCCGCGCCACCATCGCCGTCACCTTTGCAATCGTCCGTGTCGCCGCCACCGTCTCCATCGAGTGAAGACCCGGGCGTCGGAAACGCGTTTGCTGGCGCACCTTGGGCAGGCCCGAGCGACGGCAGCAGTGGCGGCGTTGCAGACGCAGTCGCCGGTGTCTTTGCGGGTGCGCCCTTTGCGGGTGCGCCCTACGCGGCCGGGCGTGCCGGGTCGAGCGGCGGCAGCAGTGGCGGCGTTGCAGACGCAGTCGCCGGTGTCTTTGCGGGTGCGCCCTTTGCGGGTGCGCCCTACGCGGCCGGGCGTGCCGGGTCGAGCGACGGCAGCAGTGGCGGCGTTGCAGACGCAGGCAACGATGCGAATGCGCCCTGCGCGGCCAGCTGCGCCGGATCGAGCCAGGGCTCGAGCAGCTCGAGCGAGGGCTCGAGCAGCAGTGCCGCCGCTCCCGGCATTTTTGCGAGTGCACCTTTCGCGGTAATGGCCAACTTGTTAGCCAGCGCCTTCGAGAGCGCCCCATGTGCCGCGGCAGCCGAGAATCCTGGTGCGACAGAGGTGCTGCCCGGGGCAGCCGAGGCGGCCGAGGGAGCCGCGACGTGTGCTGTGGCTGAGACGGCGGTCGCGCCTTCAGATAGCGCGGCGGAGTGTGAAGCGCTACGTTCACAACTCGAGGCGCTGCAGCTCACAAACGGACAGCTACAATCCGAGCGTGCAGCACTCGCGAAGCAGCTACGTGCTGCTAGTGCTGCTCTCCAGCGCGCCGGTCAGGTGAGTTCCCGCTTGGCGGGATTAGTTTTGGGAGGTTGCGTCACATGACTTCCAGTGATAAACATCGTCTCTGATCAAAACGCAAAAGCTTTTGCGCAATGAACCACACGGTGCCGTGTCCCTGAAGCGTTTTGCCCTGCTCTCTCACACTCTCGCCGTTACGAGTCTCCACTCGGCTCTCGCCCACAGGTGAGACGCCCCGCCCAGCAGCATACACTCTAGCTTGGCCGACAAGCAATCACGATCGAGAGCGCGGAGTGCAGTGAACCCACACCACCCAAGAGATGTCTCTTGTGTTCACAAAAGGGCATTCGCCACCGACTCGGCCGTTGCTCGGTGAGCGGGGTCATGTGCTGACGCCCTCTCCACCACCTCTGCCAGCGAGTGCGCGGCCGGAAGGGAAGGGCGGAGCTGCCCGGCAGCAACACGGCGCTCCGCCTCCTCGCCCGACGCACGGTCGCTGCCCCACTTCTCGTACACCCGCTTAGATCGCCTGCCGATGCAGGCCATCACGCAGGCGAGCGACCACACGTCCGCCGCAGCAAGCCGATAGCGCCGACGGCCAAAGGCTCCGCCGCTCAGCACCTCTGGCGCGCGGAAGGTGCAAGTGCCGCGAGGCCGATCCTGCTCGTGCTCTACCACGAGTGGTGTCAGCAGGGACGAGCCGACTAAGCTCAGGCCAAAGTCTGCTAACTTGGGCTCCAAGCCCTCCGTGACGAGGATGTTGCTCGGCTTGAGGTCGCAGTGAAAGACCTTCTGCGAGTGGATGTAGGCGATACCCTGAGCGACCCCGCGCGCCATTGCCGAATCGGAGAAGGGAGATCCCGACGAGAGGAGCGCCTCGAGCGTCCCGAGACCGCACAGCTCCATGACGAGCGCGCCCGTCTCGCTCACGCCATACGCCTGCACCACGTGCTTGTGCCGAAGGTTGAGCAGCAAGCTGACCTCCTCGACAAACAGGGAGCGCGCCGTCACGGCCTTTGGCACCTTGACAGCCACGGGTGTGCCACCACGTAGGCGGCTCTGAAATACGTCGCCAAAGGTGCCCGCGCCGAGCCGCTGAGTGGTTGGCTCGAGAGTCAGCCGCGGCACTCTGCTCGGCTGCGGCCGCAGGGCAGAACACCGCCGGAGGAATACCTCGCGGTAGTGGCTGGGCAGCAAGCGTGCTGCTGCCTGAACAGCGGCGTGGGCGGAAGCAGCCTCCTCCCGCAGCTGCACGGCCTGGTGCACGACCTGCCCGCGAGCCTGCTCTGCCTGGCGGCGGCGCTGTTGCTCTTCGCGGAGCCGCTCCAATTGCTGCTCAAGGCGCTCCGCTTGCTCCTCCCGCGTCGCGGTGGCGACGCTCGTGCACGCGGAGCTGCGCACCGCAACCACGCAGGCGCGAGGCTTAGCAGCTGCGACAACCGTTGCAGGCACGGGCTGGGACGGTGCAACCGCCACTGCAACCAAGCGTTTGGCCGGCTTCACGACCTCGGCAGTCACCACGCTCCGCCCGCGCTTGGTCGCGTTGCCGTGCGGTAGCTGAGCCGATGCCGGCGCCAGAGTGGCCGCGACGATCATCGGCGGGCGGCACGGTTGCCAGCGTGGCGACACGAGAGGCGCGACGACTCGCGCCAAATCGGCGATTTTCACGTTCACGCGCTCAACCCCACGTTCACGCGCTCAATTTGAATTTTGTCTGGTGAGTTATGTGGATCGTCCTTCACCAGTGCATAGAGCGGAGGGCAAAACTAAAGGGAGGGATGGTGCTTCCGTCGGTTTCCATTGAGAAAGATGTTTTGTCCACATACGTCATACCACATCCATCCATCCAACCAAGAGAATGCAACTCAAGTTTTGATCGCTCACATTTGGCTGACGTGTTGTTGAGTATCAGAGTATGATTCCTGTCTGCAGGTCTATTCACACCTCACGCGATCTTCCATGTCCAGACAGCGTCCAGACAGCGTCCAGACAGCGTCCAGACAGCGTCCAGACAGTGTCCAGACAGCGTCCAGACAGCAAAATCGGAGCGTCTAGACAGCTATTCAGACAGTACTAGCACTTGAGTGTACACAGCTGATTGAAGTAAAGGGGGATTATGCAGCTGCCTGCCAGAGCAGAAAGATTCCTGAATTCTCTCCACTACAAAAAAAGTCCAGTGCGGAACCGAGATCATGGCCCCGAATGCCGTGCTCTCTAGGAAATGTGTGGGAGCTCCACAAACCAGGTTTTCCCCCCTCGGAGGGTGCCGGGAGAGGCGTAACCCGAGGGCACTCGCCCGCTAGGAATAGTCTTCCCTGACCCCGCCAGTCCGCCCGCCTGCCCTGCCCGCCTGGCTGATAAGATCTTTTCACCTTGACCTGGTGGAGTACAGGCGCGGGGGGCGTGTGGTTGAGACTCGGCTCGTGAGCCCCGCAGACTCTCGCCTGCCAACCCCGAAGGGGCTGCCGTCCACCCGTCGCTGCCCAGGCCGGGGGAGGGGGGGGAAACCTCCTGTTCCTCGCGGAACGGGAGTAGGCCCCTCCTTGCCCGGTCAGGAAGCAGGGCGGTGGTCGTGCCATCGTCGCTTCGAACTCGAAACCGCCGATACACGCCGCATTCGTCGCCGGCGCGCGACAGGCTCCCGTCGGCCGGACTGCCCTCGACGAGTGGGTGTCGCCAACCAAAGCGACACGCACTCGAGGGTAGTGCCGACGGGACGCGGCTCGAGGGCGACTCTCGCGAAGGCACGGCTGGCAACCGTGGCGCGGGGCTCGCGTTCGACAAGACCGGGATCGCTCTACCGGCAAACCTCTCGCTGACATGCGCGCCCCGTCGAGCTGACGGCGGGCGCGCTGAGGTCGCACGCCAAGCCAAGTTATATGCCAAGGGCGTGCGATCGAGAATCGGCTCACGCACCTCTGCTCGCGTACCCTCACCCATAGAATTGTCACCGCCAGTGAGTGCGAGATAGGGCTAGCTGCTGGCGGCTAGCCCCTGAGGAGAGTGACCAGAGACACCTCACATGACCCCACACACGGTCTAGTCCGGCCTCGCGGTCGGCGGAGATTGCTAGAGGACGAGCAAGCCTGCTCTAGCCTCACGCGTTCTCCCCTGTCGTCTGTTGTGTTGTTGTGCCCTTGTTTGTTCTCTTGGCACCTTGGAGTGCTGGCGGGGGCGACAGGGAGGATGTGGCCTTGAGTTATGTGTACGCCAACTCAGGGTGTGTGGCAGCCAGCTGGCTGTGTGTCTTGTGAGCTTGTTTGTGTCTGTGTGTCGTTCGTGCGTGTCGTCATCATCTGTCCCGCGTCCACCCATACCGCGTTGGTGTCCAGGAGCTCCAGTCCGAGCCCGACTGTTGTTCATCTTTCTACATACATACATTTACAAGCAAACTCCCTCGCACAAAACTGGGCACGGGACTGGCGCGCACTGGCAGGCCGACTGCACGCTAAAGGCTACACACTCGCACACCACTTGCAGAGTGGCTCTACCAGGCGCTCACCCCACGGCAGAGGCACGCCAGCCCCGGGCAGCCGGCCGTCGCTCGCCTAAGCGCCTAAGCGGCCTAAGCGGGGGGTGCTCAGGGTGCTTAGGCGCTTAGGCAGCCCTTGCGAGCGTGGCGGCGTCGTAAATACAAGTGACTCCGATGACACTGACAATGCTACTGCTAGTGTCATCGCTCAGAGAGAGCAGTCTGACGCACGTCGTGACTGTCTACCACTGGCCCTGGTCGCACACTGCCACTGAGCTGCGCTGGTGCGGAAACTCAGCATCAGGTCGAGAGTCGAGGAAGGTCGCGGAAGGTCGAGTCGAGGAAGAGAACACAATCAGGGGCGGGGCCGGTAGACCGGTCCGCAGCGCCATATACGTGGCAAAGGACGCGAAAAGTGCCCACTGAAGCTTCTGCACCTTGACTTCAGGTTGAGCTGTGATGATGCCCACAGCACCAGCAGCAAAGGCGGGCGGGCCGACCCCGCGGCCATCGCCGCCGTCGCCGCCGCCCCCTCCGCCGCCGCCGCCACCTTGGGCTACATCGCCCGCGCCGCCGTTGCACACCGGCTCTCGTGCTCATTCAACGGCGCCTCGAGTTGCAGGCCGGCGGCGCTGACGTTGTCGTGGTCGGGCTGCCCAACGTCGGCGCGGGAGAGAGGGGGCAAAGAGGTTATGGAGAGCGCGAGAGCGAGCGCCAAGAGAGCCCAGATTCTGAGCAGCAGCCCGCCTTGTCATGGGCCCACTTGCCGACGTGCGTCCAGCTTCCACTATAGGACGAACGCCGAAGTTTGCTCTCCGACGCCGTGCCGAGCGAAACCTTTTCCTTCGAAGCCCGGCGACGTAGCCGGGCGAGCGGAATAGGGCAGCCCTAGAGAGCACCTTGAGGCCGTTCAATAGAGCCCGTGTTATAGTCGAGGGTCGATCGCCGGCCGGCGCAGTGCTGCTCTGACCGCTCCGCCGGGCCGCCTCCGGGCCACCGCCGCGGAGACGTGCACATAGGCAAGTTGGTATTTTCATATATGAACTTCAAAATAACATTGGCTAATCTAATCCTACTCATCGCAACTCGCCAGGAACACCCCCACACTATAGGGTCATTGTGTAGCCCTGCTTAGAAGGAAAAGGTTTACTGCAAGGTCCGTATGGCTCACCGTGTAGTCGGCCGCACTAACACAGGTACACCACGGGAGCCGCCTAAGCGACTCCTGCGAGGGTGGCGAGGCACTTAGCTCCGTGCACCCGCCCACCCCCGCCACAGGCAAGCTCATTCACGACCTGCTCTGCGATGGCCGTGTGAAGAACGACTGAGATGCGCTGCTTCTGCAGCCCCAGCCAGCTCTTGGTGGTCCAAGTCACCTCATCGAGGTACTGGGCCCGCGTCAGCTTGTTCTGTAGCACGTCCGCCGCCCTCCGGAGGATCTCACGGACCCCCTTTCCGAACCCGCCGAACGATTCGAACAGCAGCAGCTGCACTTCGACGCCCTTGTCTTCCCTGGCGTAGCGATAATTTCCCCGCCGTAGGACGGTATGCGGCGGTCGCCGCCCACCACCCTGCCCCCCCTGGTATGCCACCGACCAGTCCCCTGCCCCCTCTCGCCCTTGCTCTTCCTCACAAGTGAGAAAAACTCAACGAAAAGTACGTAGAGGCTAGGGCTTCTTGCCCGCAACCCGATGCCAATCATCCGGCCCGCTGGGTGCGCTTCTTAGCTCCCCGGCCCTGGATGTGCGGTTACTGACTGCACTCCAAGTGCTCCAAGGGAAAAGTCCTCGAGGTAGTGTTCGCCCTGCGACCGCCCACCCCCCAGGGCTAGGGCTCTCGTGTGTATCGCGCGCCTTGCGGGGGGGGGCGCGGAAAAGAGGAACCTCTTGGCGTCATCGCCATGGTGCTGCAAGCAGCGCCGGGCAACGACGACTTACCGCCTCCCGGTCCCCCTCGGCACACCTCCGCTGCTTAATGTTTGACGACTCGAACCCGTGAAGCTTCCCCGTGCGCGGGTTACCCCGCACACGGGTCAGCCTGCCAGCCACGTATCCACGCAAGCGTGGTCCGCGCGCATGGCATACAGGCGTTCGCCAGACAGCGCAGAGGCTAGGCGACCGGGGAAGGACTAGCTCAAGGGCAACACAGCGTCACCAGCCGTTGGCGCGCAGAACCAGTCTGCGGCCCCCGGTTGGGACGGGTGCGCGACGCGGACGAACCGCTCAATGTGGCCGGCAGCTCGCGCTGCCGGCGGGGTTGGTTGGGGAGAACCGGCACGGGGAAAGCCGGCCTCCCCGGAGGGTTCGCCCCCTGGAGGGGCCCCAAAGGGCCCCCCGGGGGGGCGGGGGCCCGGGGCGGGGGCCCCCGCCCCGAGGGGCGGGGGCAGGTTCGTCGCTTAGCGCGATGGAGGCAACCCTTGTTGCCAAGTCGGCGAGCGTGTTGTGTATCGAGAGAGAGAGACCATAGCCATAGGCATACAGTAGCAGATGCGAGAGCCGAGAGCGGCGTCGTCCGGGGAGAGTGGTGGTGGGGGAGGTCAACATCGAGGGCAAGGTACGCATGGCGCTGCGTGGAAGCAACACGGAGCTCCGTTGGACGTTTTCAAGATTAGCGTGTCAGAGGAACTAGCCTAAGGAGAGGAGCGTACGGCTTTACCAACCAGGTCACAGGGGGCATAAACGTTCTGTGGAATACTGTGGAAAGCAAACACCCCGCTCCTCGAGAGAAGGCCTCGGCAATGTTACACTGTCTCCTCGGAGGCGGAGAAGGCCTCGGCAATGCTACACTGTCTCCTCGGAGGCGGAGAAGGCCTCGGCAATGTTACACTGTCTCCTCGGAGGCGGAGAAGGCCTCGGCAATGCTACACTGTCTCCTCGGAGGAGGAGAAGGCCTCGGCAATGTTACACTGTCTCCTCGGATTCGCACATTACTTGGTATTCCCGAGTGGATCGACCCCGTCATTCACGTACGCGCCGCCGGTCTGTCATGGCCACGGTTCCAATTTTCCGTTCTCCATTCACACGTATCCGTAAACGTAGAACTTGCACACCGTCAGCCCCGCCGCAGACGGCCGGTTGAGGTAGATGTAGCGCCCCAACGCGTTGATCTCCACCTCCAACATCACGTTCGATGACACGCTCACGTCCGACTTCACCAGCGCGTTGCCCGTGTACGTCTCTGCCGTCGTGCCGAGATAGATGTCGACGTCCGTCAGCCGCTCCGCGCAGCAGTCGTTGCGGTTCTGCAGCCGCACGTAGCGCACATACACCTCGCTCCCGAGGTCGACGCCCCACCATTGGCTTGTGTATTGGCCGCACTCGGCCCACGGCCGTCCCGTCGTGCTGTCGGCGTATGAAAGATCGCTCACGGGCGCCTGCTTGTCGAACAAGCTCGAGTCCTGGTACGTGGTGGCCGTGCGAAGGTCGAGCAGCTGCGCTGCTGGTGGCGGCGAGGGCGGACGGAGGCGCTCCCACGCAACCGCACACTTGCCGCCGACCACCTCGGTGAACTCGTCGAGCACGACCTCGACCTTGCCGTCGAGCACCTCGGTACCGTTGCCAAGCGAGACCTCGCACTTCCGCGTCACTGCGTCGAGGGCAGTGCCGTCGCCGCAGACCCCGGTGGGCGATGCGGGCGGCGGCGGCGAGGCCGGCGGCGGGGGTGGCGGGCACGCAAAGGAGCCCCACGAGTAGGGCCACGCGCTCGTCTGCATGCTGAAGCTGGCCTGGATGAGCGCCTTGTTGCAGTCGCTGAGGGAGGAGGCGCCGTCGAACATGACGTCCATGAACATTATCGCCGACACGTCCCACGAGCTGAGGTCCTTGTCGAAGGAGATGGCGCCGTAGAACATGCGGGTCATGTAGAGGACAGCAGACGTGTTCCACGAGGAGATGTCCTTGTCGAAGGAGGTGGCGCCGTAGAACATGGCGTACATGTTGACGACAGCAGACGTGTCCCACGAGGAGATGTCCTTGTCGAAGGCGGAGGCGCCGGAGAACATGCCGTCCATGTAGAGAACCGCAGACGTGTCCCACGAGGAGATGTCCTTGTCGAAGGAGGTGGCGTAGAAGAACATGTAGCTCATCCAGAGGACAGCAGACGTGTTCCACGAGGAGATGTCCTTGTTGAAGGCGGTGGCGCCGGCGAACATGAAGTCCATGTAGAGAACCGCAGACGTGTCCCACGACCCAATGTCGGGGTTGCACGTGCTCTTGCCGGTCGTGGAGCCGCCGCCGGGGCAATCGTAGTTGGCGCTGAACAGACACTGCATGTCTGTGATGCGGCTCACGCCCCAGTCCGAGATGTTGCCATACGCAGCCAGGGCGGCCGGCTCGTCGCTGCACCACAGGTCGGCCGCGGTCTGCAGGGCGGGCTTGTCGGCAAAGGTAGTTTGCGCCGACGCGCTCGTGGGAGGCAGTAACGCGCCAAAGACTGCGAGGATGAGCTTCATTGTCTGCGGAAGGGGAAAGGTGGGGGGGCAGGCGTCACGGTGAGGGGTGAGTTAAGCGGCCTGCATTGGTCGGAAGTGCGAACAGCTATGCGCATGAGTGGGGGGTCTGAAATGAGAGGACGAGTGACGGGGGACAAAGCTCGGACGTTGAGCCCTCCGGAAGGTCGGCGCCCGAGGGACCGG